CCCCAAAACCCCAAAACCCCAAAACCCCAAAACCCCAAAACCCCAACAAAGAAACATTATTGTAAACTTATAATAAATGGAGAAGACACCGGGGCAGCACTGCGAGAACAGTGAAAGTGAGGGTAAAGAGAGAAGTGAGGGTAAGGAAGCCCCCAGAAGGACTAGGAATAGAGAGTAGATGGGGCTGAAAGCAGGGAAATGGGGTAGTGTAGGAGGAGAGGTGGGCTTATTAGAAGACTGAATGGGATTTTTGGATGTGAGAGTTTTTATAGTGGGTGTTTAGGGTTGTTAGGGTTGAGAGTTAATAGAGGATATCTAGGTAAGATAGTATTGCGTTGAAGTGGTGGGTTTCTGTGGATTTTTGAAGCTTATAGCTAAGATGATCAGCCATGCTTCTAACTTGCCATCTTGAAGCTTTTTCTCAAGAAAATATTTTTCTGTGATCTTAATATTATTTGAGGAAAAATGTAATCTAGGAGAAGATTTTTTGGTGGTTATTAAACTGATATCAAGAAAGACCAATCAATTTTAAGAGGTCTTGTGCCTTGCATATGAGGGATTATTCACAATAGTTTTAAGTTCTTAGAACGTTCTGAATAAATTTCTTGTTTATCTAATGTTTTGCTCAATGTATAACTCTTTACATAAAAGACAAGCCAAATTTTCACGTGTCTATGATAGATATATTTCTCCCATTCGTTATGCAGAAGATGTTTCCTTGGATACACAGGTAACCTTATTTAGCTCTGATCTTTGTTGATCATATTTTAGCTAAATGAGTTCTAAGCAACTTTCTTCAGAGTTCTAGATGGTTGAACTTCTTAATTCAGATATTTAATGATTCAATGAATAGTTTTATTTAATTCGGTGCCTTTTCAAGAGTAAAGACTGACCACTCACCTGAAATATATTGACATTGGTTCTGTTCTAAAGTTATAATAACAGAAATTTGGAAAACTTTTAAAATACTCAGATTTTTATCTTAAAGAGAGAATTTAATGCACTACGATATTTCTCACTAATAGAAGACTGTCCGTCAGTTCTTTTCAACAAATGCTGCCTCTAAAATCTCGTGCAAAATTTCTATTAACTAGATAATGCTTGAATATCTATAAAACAGATATGCGAAGGCTTGGTCTAATAGATAAAATATTTCACCTCTTGAGCCCATCAAAATGTTAGCTTTAACTCTTAAAAATTATTTAATCTTTTCTTTGCTGACCGAATAATAGTATCAAAGACTGTTTTGCCATTTCAACGAGAATCTGTAGAAGGACCTATAGCTGACATGGTTCGTATAGAGAGATCACCATTATCGTTAAACCCTGGAAGGTCATCATCCTCAAGCTTCAAGGAAGGGTCAGTGATTAGCCTGTTGGAGAATAATCTTAATGAGAATCTGAGATATTCATTCAGTCAGAGAAGGAATTCTACTAGAGACCAAAATCCTCTATATGATAAGTTGTTCTCAGAAGGAGATAATGAAGACCTTGAGGCTAATCCTGAGAGCAATAATTCTAGCGAAGTGCATGCGACTGTAAACCTGTACCTGCTTAACAAGCTCAGTGCTGAGATGGGGTTTAAAAAGAGCACTGTGAAGCATGTCCTTGTCAATTACTCCTCAGATATCGGCAATGATATCGGAAAAGCTATTGATTTCTGCATGTTTGCCAAAGAAAATGGTCTTGATGACCATCTCTCAGAGAGCGAAAGCAGTATTGAAGGTATTTTCATTTCAAACCCTTTAGAGTTCAATGGTCAAAATGTTAGCTCTCTTACCACTGTGAACAGGTTGGAAATGGGAACAATAATCGAAGAGGAAGAGTCCAAGGATTTATTGAGCTCAGAGATTGACCAAAACGAGTCATCATGTAAGCTTTCAAACCTCAATACAGTGACTATGGTTGCAGATAACAAAGAAGAGCCTAAATCTGAATATTCCTCAGAGGACTCTAGTGATGATGAAGCTGTAGATCCGAACGAGGAGACAGTAAATTGCCTAATCTGTTACGAGGACCATCCAATCTCCAGAGTATATTCTCTCTCATGAGGTCATCAGTTCGGCATCTCATGCCTCAGGATGATGTTCAAAGTAGGCATTAACGATGGGAAAGTTCTTGAGACTAATTGAGCACATTATGAATGTGAGAAGAAGTACACTCCTCAGGATGTCAGATCCATTGTAAAAAGCACCAGGCTGCTTGAGAAATTCGACAGATTCAGAGAAAATATGGAAGTAAATATGGATAAAAACAAGCAATGGTGCCCATACCCTAATTGCAACCTTTGGGCTAAAGGATCAGGCTGGAAACCCAAGGTCCAATGTGACAATGGTCACAGATTCTGATTTATCTGTCAACAAGATTGGCACAGAGGTAACTGCAAAGATGCACTTGACGATAAGTTACTAGATTATGTGTCTGAGAAGGGTGTCTGAAGATGTCCTAAATGAAATATCAGAACTGAGAAAAACTCTGGGTGAAACCATATGACATGTATATGTGGCCATCAATGGTGATGGCTCTGCAAAGGTAAATACTCCCAGCACCATTATTCTTACTGGAATGTATTTGGCTGTGCAAGTATGCAGTATACTGAAGACTGGAATAAGTGAAAGATCTTACTCTATTACACTCTTATGATCTTCGTATTAATGCCAGTATTCATGCTTTTTTGTCCTGTTGGAATGATGATAGTGGGAATGTATGATCCCTTGAGAAACTATGACAACTGCTGAGCTCAATTTTGATTAATACCAAGAGCAATTCTAGGATACAGATATAGATTGAAATGATCCCAAATCCTTTGATTAACCTGACTATACCTTCCTTTCATTCTCACATTTGGGCTCTTAGTAGGAGTAATGTTTTTCATTGTCCTCTACCCAATCGCTGTTGCAATTACAGTTTGGAAGATGATCAGGTTGATATTCAGAGATTGAAGATGCTTTCAGAAACTCACTTATTAATCAAGCTGTATAAGCTTATTTCTCACGCTCAATAACCTTGTTCTGGACACTTTGGGTACTTTAAATTATTTGATTTCTAATTCAATATTTGAAACCACCTCCGGGGTTTTGGGGTTTTGGGGTTTTGGGGTTTTGGGGTTTTGGGG